GTTTCGGGTTGAGGGCTTAGGGTTAAGGGCCGACAGGGGTTAGGGCAAGTTTAGGGGTTTTGAAGCACCGGGGTGCAAGTTGCTTCAGAACAAACGGAAGCTAGGCTGGAAGAGAGCGGGTGCAAAGACAATCCCAAACACAGTAAAAACACGATGACAATACACACCAATGGCCAAATTTCTTGTGGCCAGCACGACAATGAGCCCTCACAGAACTTCGCTATACCAGGCACCAAGTCCAGATGGCCAGTTGTTCAGAAATTTGGAGCCGTGACATGATCAGCCGTCCGCAGGAAATGGTCTTGACACACACCACCACGAGCCATCCACCAGAAGCCTGGTAATGTCACATCCTCACGGACTCCTTATGTGCTCTGCACTCAACAGAATCAGCCGACAAGTGGTGCATGACTTATTCGTGGCTTACGCTTCTACACCATCTCGAACAGTAAATGGGTGGCTGGTCGAGACTAACTAGAGTCACTAGAGTTTCCAAATATTGTATATCACGATAGCCTGATGCCACGATGACTCCGCAACGTGAACATCCTTTGAAGCAGCCATACATCACACCCCCCTAGCTATCCATCTGCCTCACGGGCTGCGACCACTTTGCGTCGCAAGCCTCATGAAACGTCCGCATCAGCCTCATCAAGCTGTGTGCAGTTGCTGTTTAGCCCCGCTTTCAAATTTCGTAAGCCTTTGTTTCTGCAGCCGCAACGAGTCTTGAGCAATCTTTGGATACAAATGCCTCCTCACATCATGATGCAGCTGATACCATACAAAACAACATGCCGGAACGCAGCTTGCATCAGCACTGACGCCCGCACGAATGACCGTAGGAGGCATAAATTTCCACCTTTGGTGTCGCGGTTTGGGCGCGCGTCAGTATAGTCACAGAAGAGCATGGGCTAGGGGCCATAATACTTGGATCAGTTTGAAAGCAAAACTGCAGGGGCCTTTATGATTAGAAGACGGTGTTGGCGATATTTTACCATAATTTTGTACGAACTATAGTAACTATAGGGCGATACTGCTACTAGTTCTTCAGTCTCCTCCGACAGCGGAAAGGCCGCGGATTCACAACAGCGCTGCCCTCTGGGACAGCAGCCCGACAGTCGTAAATCTCGGACAATGCCTGCAGGGTTCGTCTTTTGTAACGTGTGAGGATGCGTTGGTTTACCAGTCAGGCTTAAGGTAATAGGGCCTATAGGGCCCTAGGCTACCAAGGCTCACTGTGCTGAGTGGTGGAACTTCAGCGCGGGGTTTTGGGGTCTTCCCTGTAAGCCCCAACGCTCAGCCTCCCGAAGCCGTTTTGGTCTAACGGTCAGAGTTACAATGGTAATAGCAGTAGAAAGAATGAACATACCAATATACCCTAAACCCTAAACCCTAAACCCTAAACCCTAAACCCTAAACCCTAAACCCTAAATCCTAAACCCTAAGCCCTAAACCCTAATAGTTGTGGTCAGCCTCAATCTCCACATCATCGCCCCACTCGCCCTCGCGCTGTATCCGTGCCAGAAACCTCCCGGCCAGCTGTTTCAACATCATTCCGGGGAGTCCGAACCCTGAAGGGTTTAGGGTTTAGGGTTTAGGGTTTAGGGTTTAGGGTTTGGGGTTTAGGGTTTAGGGTTTAGGGTTTAGGGTTTAGGGTTTGCGGGATACACTCGGTGTTGCCTGTCGTCGAGTAGGGCACATGGAGAATGACGAGACTTGTCGTATCATTTTCGCTGAACGGATAAGGCAACAAGGTGCAACTGAGGGCCGTAAAGCATTAGGTGCTTCGGGGTGACCCTGAGACATGCTGCAGATTCTTCTAGAACTCGCAGCCATGGTTGGCGGTGGAGGGTGGGAACAAACGACGGTGAATACTGGCTACCGCATGATTCCATCAAGGACAACGATGTCAGAATTTTAAGAACTGCTTATCCTAAATGCTGAACCCTTATACAGCATACAATACTAACCAGACGTGGTTCTTCACCTGGCAATTTCCCCACTGAGCTCCGAGAAATCATGCCAGCAAGACTCTTCAAATGGCTCCGCCACGAATTGCTCGAAATAGCTTCGCTCGCTAGCGATGTACTTTGTGCACCTTCAGGTGTATGATCCCGATGGATTGGGGGCCAGCAGCTCAAAACCGAGTGCATCTGGAAATTCAGATTGAGGGAGGCAGCTTTCAAGAATTAAGGCTTAGTGGCCGAATGTTAACATTTATTATATCTCCAAAACATCCTGAGAACAATGCTGCAACTGCACAAACCCATGTAGTTTAGCTCCACCTCGCAGTTGACACTTGCTCAACGATACTGCTTAGACTTGAGTCGCACATGTATACACACATCTCTCTACATACATATGCTACACATGCATATATAATTACTTGTTTATAAGTACACACCCACACGTGCACTTACACATATACATGTGTATATATATATACACACTTACATACATACATATTTGTTTATTTACCTATTCATAGGCTACACAACAGCTTTCTATAGTGGAATTATACGGCTTTACATGGACTGCTTCATGAACTGAAGCGAACACTCTCAAACAAACTGGCGTGGTCTGAGAGTTGCAGTCCTCCGACCTCCCTGACGGGATAGATCGATGAACATACCGATGCCAGTGATATTGACAATAAGGACTTCAGAAGCTGTTTGGCCTACAACTTCAACCAGATTTGCGTTAGGGTTTAGGGTTTAGGGTTTAGGGTTTAGGGTTTAGGGTTTAGGGTTTAGGGTGTAGGGTTTAAAAAGGTTCTGATCGGAACTGGTGCTAGCATCTGCACAACTCAACCTCTTGGCCAAGGCGCCTGTCTCTCAGCAGGGCATGGTAGTCAGGGCAGCCATAGACCTTGCCACAGCTCTCGATTTTCAGGGTTTCAGTAAGGTTTAGGGCATCCTAGGACTTTGGGTTGAAACCTTCGAGGGGTGTTGTTTAGGTGTTTGGTTTTTTTGGCTTAGGGTTTCGGATCATTGCCATGGCGTGCAATGTTCAGGGGAGAGTAGATTGAAGAAGAGAGGGAAGCCGGCTTTGGTAGTGTGGATCTATGGGCATTCGTGCCGGAAGGTTGTTGGTGTTCGGGCAGTGAAAACATACCCTGCAGGCTTTGCAAATAATTAAGCGAGTGCTGTATTATTGCTACCCGAATCCGAATCAAACTAAAGCCTCAAGCCCAACATAGAGGCCTAAGCCCACGTTTATTCCTTAGGGCTCCTTCTCATACTTTCTTCTACTATAAACCACAACGCCATTCTAATGATTAATGCCGCCATATGGGAGTCTCCGATAATAAGGGGTACCTTATTTTGGGGTCCTTCTATTAAGGATCCTACTATTTAGGGTACTATATTAGGGTCCCCTATTTTCTGAAACTCCCATATATACAACCCTCCAAGGCCCATGATGTCGCTCCCGGCAGTTGCTCCAGCGTTCAACGCCAAGGTGCGCATATAGGGCGGCGTCTTGTCCCACACCATCGGCGCTCCAGCTCGCTGGTTGGCAAGGTTGGACGCCACCTCGGACATGATAGCGGCACCTTCCTCCTTGGGGAGAGCTGACACCAGGACGAGCAGAGCCTCATGGCCACCGTTCTTCTCGGCGGCAAGCACGCGCCTGATCTTCAGAACTGCGGCAGAATCCTCTTTCGAGGGCTTCTCTCCCGCCCATATCTCACACTGCATCCTGACGGCGGCGTCGTCATTCTTGGCATTCGTCGCCACGGCAGTGACGAGTTTCTCCAAAGAAATCAGGCATGTCAGGGGCAAGTTAACTATGATGTAGAGCCTGGGTTTAGGGTTGGGGTTTCAGGGTGTAGGGCTTAGAGGGTTTGGGGTAAAAGGCTGGTGGTTTTGCTCTAAGCCGTCTTCCGGGTCGGCGGTGTTGGCCTCAGAGCTCGTTGCAAAAATTCTGAATACGCCTGAACATGACATCCTGAAGCCCTACACCTAAAGTGCACTAATCAAGGGTCTACATTGCACCCTCCCTTAAAGAAGGATGATATCAGTGATCCTGCGACTAAGAGAAACTCGCGGCTATTCAGGAGGATAGCATAGTAGCTAGATATGTTGCACTCTTTGCCTCATCTACCTTGGCGACTCTAAGTGCGGGGCCCAAGAAAACTGAAACCTGTTGCACCAGCCTCGCCGCAGCCCTAAACCCTAAACCCTAAACCAGCCTCTCGCCGCAGCTGGGGAATCATGTTCCGGATGGCAAGGGGCTGCCTGAGAGACGGGGCGCCAGGGACTCCATCTTGGAGTGTCTAGCTCAACCTCTGAGTATCGTCTGAAGTTCAACCTTTTCACACATACATATATGTATACCCATAGGCCCCATAGTAGTTCCTTTTTGGGATTACCTTATAGGACTCTAAATATGAACCCCCAAAAGGAATTACTATGGGGCCTATGGGTGTGTGTATATATATATATATATGTCTATCTACATGTTTAATTGCGTGTATCTATATATATATATATACATATATATTGGTATGTTACAGAGTTATATGCTGAATATGGTACAGTATGAAGCCTGCCGAAATAAACAAACAAGTAAGTATATACACGTATCTCTCTCTCGCTCTCTCTATCGCTCTCCCCCTCGGACAGGTGTGACCACAGGGGCTTAAATCATTGCCATTACCATTCCTTAGTGCTCCTGGCTTTCATTATGCTGTAGTATATCCAAGAACCCTATTCCAATGAGATGTTTTGCTCTGGGATGTTGAACCCTTCTTGATCGGGAGCCCGCAGTAGCTCGAGAAGCCTTAAGCAATGTAGGGGCCTTGATAATCAGAACAGGGTTTTGTGGTATTCTAGAGTACGGTGATGACAAGGAACATTATGGAGTTATGGAGTATGGAGTATTCAGCCCTCTATACTACGGCCTATTCACCAAGGGGCACTTAGCTGAACGAATCGGTCGCGAGGCTCGTCTGCAAGGCTTTCTTTCCAATCGTCTGATTAGTTAGTGGGAGTATCCCCTGATAGCCTTCTAGACCCCCACTATACTTGCACTGCAGCCCTAAACCCTAAACCCCTAGTCCAATTATTCAGGCCCCTTTTTTTAAGCAGAAGATTTATGCTTCAGTGGCTCGCACCTCAGGAGAGCTTAGGGCTTAGGGTTAGTAGGGTTATGAGGGCTCTTAGTGTTTAGGCATTTTAGGGACTACTGTACACCTAAGGGGTTATTAGGGTGATTAGGGCTCTTAGCGTTTAGGGCCTAGGGTTTAGGTTTATTAGGGTGATTAGGGCTCTTAGTGTTCAGGGCCTAGGGTTAAGGATTTAGGGATCCTCTGAAATCAGCCAGCGCACTTCTCCACGACTTTTAACGCCACCTCGGTCGAGGATGCAGGGGCTTGGGGTGTGGGGAATAGGGCTCCCTCAGCCTTAAAGGTCGCTTTAACGGGGGACTAGAAGGGTTAGCATACAGGGTTGCTATAACTCTAGAAGTAAGGGATAGTAAGGGTATAATATAGTATTGGGGTCTCAATCATGAGAATGGAAAAAACTACTTTAAGGCATATTCCCTGTACATCGCTCTTCAGGATGGAGGCTCTTGGGTTTCCAACTTTTGGGCTTATACTGCAAGCAGCGGCGCAAGATTCAAGGTAGCTGCCTAAACCCTAAACCCTAAACCCTACACCCCTAAACCCTAAACCCTAAACCCTAAACCCTAAACCGTTTGGGGCGAGAGGAGCAGTGCTTGTGGGAAAGGATCTAGGGCAGGGGACTCCAAGCCACCAAAGCCTGTTGCTTCCTAGGGGGCTTAGGGTCGAGGATTTCGGAGTTTAGGGTTTAGGGCTTAGGGGTTTAGGGTTTAGGGTTTAGGGGTTTAGGGTTTAGGGTTTAGGAGTTTAGGGGCTTAAGGTTTTGTGGGTTTAGGCTTAGGGGAACGGAACAGACTTCTGAGTCGTCTGTCTGAAGACCCCAGACATGTCAGTCTCAGCCTCAAGGTCGTGGATGAAATCCGGGGTACTCCTTGCACGAACCTTATTCCAAAGCCCTAAAGGCCCTAAAGCTCTGGCCCTAAACCCCAAAAACCCTAAAAACCCTAAAGCCCTATCAAGAGCCAATATCCTAAGGCCCTGAATCTTGAAAACAACACAAATGCCCCTAAGACCCAGAAATCGGAAAGCCCTGAGACCCAGAAGCGCCGGTCTTAAAGCTTACCCTTAAAGCTCCAATAAGGCCCTTAGTTTAGGCTTCAGGGTTTAGGGGTTTGGGGTTTAGGGTTTAGGGCCCCACGGCCCTATGTTCGAACTATTAAGACTCCTAGATTACTGCTACGGAGGCGCTACTCGCATCTTGGACATGGGCATCGGCGATGACCGCGACGAGGCCACAGTTGTGTAGGGCCTTTGGCGTCTAGGACGCGTCTACTGTATAGGGTTAAGTTGAGAATTTCTGCCAGGGTCATCCGAGAGGAATTCTACAGGGTGCTGCGTATATTGCGGTGTCTTGAGGCTTTTATGGGGGTCAAAGTGCCTTAGGGGTTTCATCAGGCGGGGGGTTAGGTTCCTGAGTTTAGTGTTGTTTTGGAGTTTGTAGGATTTTTTTTTTTTGGGGGGGGGGGGTTGGGGGCTTCAGGGGCTGAAGGGTCTGAGGGCTTTTTTCTTAAAAGCCCTAAAACCCTAAACCCTAAACCCCTAAACCCCTAAACCCTAAACCCTAAACCCTAAACCCTGAACCCTAAACCCTCAACCCTAAACCCTTATAGAGATCCCTTTAAGGGAACCCTAGGGTCCCCTTTAAAGGAACCCTACAACGGTTTAGGGTTTAGGGCAAAGCTCTTGCAAGCATAACTTCGGATCTTACTGGGCCTTCCCTTCGCAGATCTAGGGTTCCGGGTTCCGAGCTTGGAGTCTGGAGCCTAGGGTTTGCTGAGTTCCCCAAGACCCAACCTTCAATTTTTTGGGGTTTTTAGAGTTTAGTGGTCATCGGAAAGTCTAACCTTTCGTTTCTGTGGCTTATTGGGGAAGTAAGTCTAGTGTTCAGGCAGAACCTTCCCCTTAAACCCATTCTGTCAGCTCCGTTTTAAGCGGCACTAAACTCCCAAACCTGAGCTCCGAGCCTACCCCGAAACCCTAAACCCCAAACCCCCTAAACCCTAAACCCCCCTAAACCCTAAACACCCCTAAACCCGCCTAAACCCGCCTAAACCCCCTTAAACCCCAAAACCCCAAACCCTGTTCACCCCAAAGTTCAAATCCTAAACCTAAACCCGAAACCCCAAACCCTAAGCCCCAAACCTCCCCGAGATTCTCCAAGAAGTAGTGGTGTTTTCGTTCCGGAGCCCCTTCTGAACGTCGTATCGCTACAGCAGCGTATAGCGCTAGCAATGCAGGGGACCCCAGCCTGTAAGCCGGACGCCCTAAGCCCTAAACCGTGCAACCCGTAAACGCCCTGCAAACTTTACGTAACCTCAAAACCCTAAACCCCAAATCCTAAACCCTAAACCCTAAACCAAGCTCTAGGTAAGGCCCTAAAGCACACAAGCCATCCCTAATCCCTAAACCCTAAGCCTTCAAAACCACACAAGCCATGCAGAACAAATCGAATCTCAGAGCCCTAGAGCCTTCAACGAGGCCATGACCCCGAAACGTGTAACCTTTCAATCCCTAAACCCGAAACCCTACAGCCTAGACTCCAAACCCACAGCCCGACACCCCAAACCCTAAACACCCCGAAGCTAAAAACCCTAAACCCTAAACCCTGAACCCGAAACCCCGAAACCTTAAACCCTAAACCCTGAACCCTGAACTCCGGACACTTTTCAACCCCTGGGTGCTCCAGCTTCGAACCCACGAGTTGAGGATGTGTCCCTTCCGTGGTTTTTTTTTTACATGGTGCTCGGAGTTGGGTTCAGGGTTTAGGGGTTTTGGGGTTTAGGGGGTTTGGGGTTTAGGGGTCTAGGGGTCTAGGGGTCTAGGGGTTAAGGGGTTTAAGGTTTAAGGGTTTGGGGTTTACGGTCTTGGGGGGTTCAGAGTTTAGGGTTCAGGGTCTGTTTCGGACTTCTGTTTTTTTCCAGTTTAGGAATCAGGGATTTGGTGTTTTGGGTGTGCAGCTTTGTGGAGCTTCTTGGCCTGTGGGGGTTTCAGGTTTAGGGGGGTCTCCTTCTGCTTGGACTTTCAGGAATCTCAAGGTGTAGCCTTCATTCTTTTGTGCTTCGGGATGAAGGTGTACTTGGAGGATCATGGGACTTAGTAAGTAAGGTTATGAGTCCCTTAATTGGGCTTTTAAGTATAGTTACCTTAGTTAGTCAGAATCCTACTTATTAAGTCCCATGATCCTTTAAGTAGCCGCGGCGTGGCTTATGTCAACTGGAGCAAAAAAAATTAAACTGCTCTAAACCCCAAATCCAAAACCCCGTGCAGACCCTGCAAAGGGTTTGCGCTAAATAGTTTAGGGTCTAGGGTTCTTGAGAGCCCTGCTTAGGGCTGGGGCTAAGTAGTTCAGTTGTCTCGCAGCGCAGGTCACGGGCGAGGTGGGCCGGAGTGCGAGGATGCCAAGTGTGGGTTGGCTTGGGGTTTTTAGGTTGAACAGCTGAGATTGGAGGGCTGAGAGTTGAGGGCTTGTTGCGGATTTCGGGTTTAAGGGTTTCGGGTTTGGGGTTTAACATATTAGTAGAATAGGGTGCAGGGCACCTTACAGTGCAGTTCTATGGGGTCTCTCGAAATCCAGCAAGGCCTAGCAGCCCCCGAAGGCGCGTAACAGGAATCCAGCAGGCCGGTGTTTTGGGGTGGGATTCTCGTACAAGGCGTCGGGATTTGGATGAAGAACAGGTTCGCGATGCCCCAAGCCCTAAACGCTAAATCCTAAACCCTAAACCCCAAAAGCCTAAATCTTGAACCCTAAACCCTAAACCCCAAACGCCTAAATCTTGAACCCTAAACCCTA